ATAATCAAACTAATAATTATTATTCAACACAGATTTCAGTGGGGGGAGTAATACTCCAGTAAAAGTATTAATAATACAGTATAAGTCTTAATATTACAGTAAAAGTCTTAATATTACAGTTAGTATTAATATTACAGTAAAAGTCTTAATATTACAGTTGTATTAATATAACAGTTAAAGTATTAATATTACAGTTAAAGTATTAATATTACAGTTAAAGTATTAATATTACAGTTAGTATTAATATTACAGTTAAAGTATTAATATTACAGTTGTATTAATATAACAGTTAAAGTATTAATATTACAGTTAAAGTATTAATATTACAGTTAGTATTAATATTACAGTTAAAGTATTAATATTACAGTTAGTATTAATATTACAGTTAAAGTATTAATATTACAGTTAGTATTAATATTACAGTTAAAGTATTAATATTAGTTAAAGTATTAATATTATAGTTAGTATTAATATTACAGTTAAAGTATTAATATTATAGTTAGTATTAATATTAGTTAAAGTATTAATATTACAGTTAAAGTATTAATATTAGTTAAAGTATTAATATTACAGTTAAAGTATTAATATAACAGTTAAAGTATTAATATTAGTTAAAGTATTAATATTATAGTTAGTATTAATATTACAGTTAAAGTATTAATATTAGTTAAAGTATTAATATTACAGTTAAAGTATTAATATTACAATTAAAGTATTAATATTACAGTTAGTATTAATATAACAGTTACAGTATTAATATTAGTTAAAGTATTAATATTACAGTTAAAGTATTAATATTAGTTAAAGTATTAATATTAGTTAAAGTATTAATATAACAGTTAAAGTATTAATATTACAGTTAAAGTATTAATATTACAGTTAAAGTATTAATATAACAGTTAAAGTATTAATATTACAGTTAAAGTATTAATATTACAGTTAAAGTATTAATATTAGTTAAAGTATTAATATTACAGTTAAAGTATTAATATAACAGTTAAAGTATTAATATTAGTTAAAGTATTAATATTACAGTTTAAGTATTAATATTAGTTAAAGTATTAATATTAGTTAAAGTATTAATATTACAGTTAAAGTATTAATATTAGTTAAAGTATTAATATAACAGTTAAAGTATTAATATAACAGTTAAAGTATTAATATTACAGTTTAAGTATTAATATTAGTTAAAGTATTAATATTAGTTAAAGTATTAATATTACAGTTAAAGTATTAATATTAGTTAAAGTATTAATATAACAGTTAAAGTATTAATATAACAGTTAAAGTATTAATATTACAGTTAGTATTAATATTACAGTTAGTATTAATATTACAGTTAAAGTATTAATATTACAGTTAAAGTATTAATATAACAGTTAAAGTATTAATATAACAGTTAAAGTATTAATATAACAGTTAAAGTATTAATATTACAGTTAGTATTAATATTACAGTTAAAGTATTAATATTACAGTTAAAGTATTAATATAACAGTTAAAGTATTAATATTACAGTTAAAGTATTAATATTACAGTTAAAATATTAATATTACAGTTAGTATTAATATTACAGTTAGTATTAATATTACACTTAAATTATTAATATTAAAGTATTAATATAACAGTTAGTTTTACAGTAAGTATAATAATAATAATAATAATATAATAATTAATTACTGATTATATGTTGTATCAATAATCTGATAGTTATTCAATAAGTGTAGTGAACTATAAAGTACGTCTCCATGGAAACTGAGCACACTGATGAAGACCGTGTGATGCAGCTGAAAGCTCTGGCATGAAGTTAGATCAGTTCAGGTGTCGTCTGTTTGTGTGTGTGTCAATTAAGTTGTGTTAATGTGTGTGTAGAGCAGGGAGGGGGCGGAGTCTCCTTCAGTCGCTGCAGGATGAACGGCAGCAGCAGCGTCTCCAGAGCTCAGAGCGCCAGGATCAAAAGTGAGCCAGGTAAAGTGCTGTCACCTGTCGCATTCACCTGTCGCACTCACCTGTCGCACTCACCTGTAACTCACCTGTAACTCACCTGTCGCCCTGGGAGCACGGGGTTGTCCTGGTCCTTTAAAGAGGAGGTTGCACCTGTCTTACCTGTCCAGGTGTGTTCTGTGTTTAGATGAGTGGAGTAAGGAGGACTGCCTGACTCTGCTGGAGCGGATTCGCAGTCTGCTGCCGGACGGAGACGGCATGAAGTATAAAACCACAGAGTCGCACTTTGACTGGGAGAAAGTTTGTTTCGGCAGCTTCACCGGAGACATGTGCCGGCAGAAATGGCAGAAAGTGTCCTCTGAGGTACCGACCACGGCGGCCATCTTTATTCAACCAAACACAACACAGCAGTTAAACCTTTTCAAAGGACGGAAAAAGGATGTTTTAATTTGAAAATACAGTGAAGGTATTCTACAATGGGTCAATTTTAAACCATTAATCTATCATTCCACCTTAAACTCATCATTCCACCTTAAATTCAAAGCCCTTAAGCTCTGCTTCATTGGTCCCTTAAGAGCTTGAATGGTGAATTAATAGTTTCAAATTGAGCAATAGCAGAACACTGTCACTGTTTTTCAAATTAAAACTTATCTTTTGTCTTTTTAAAGGTAGAACTGCTGTTTCATGAAAATTAAATAAGAAATGAAGGCTTGATTAATAGTTTTTATATTTGAATTCATAGTTGATGTTATTTTTACTAACGGAGTTGATTTAAGCTTTTGCAGTCTTTATAAAATATTGCCTGTTTAGTTTGTTGAATATAATTATTAACATTCGGTGTACTACAGTAGATTTGTAAATTCTACAACAAAGGACCCAGAACAGATCCCTGAGGAACCCCAAACACAAACCTCTGATGTTATTGATTATCCAATGGTTTGGCTGTATTGGTTATTTCTGTTTCCGTGTTTCAGGTTCGTAAGTACAGAACGATGACCGAGCTCATTGTAGACGCCACAGAGTTTGTGAAGAATCCGTACAAAGGCAAGAAACTGAAGGTGAGTCAGCTGATCCAGCTCAGGAGACCAGGTTTTGTTTAGGGTCTGTTCCTCTGACCTCTGACCCCTAACTTGACCCCTCTCCTATTCAGACTCATCCAGATTTCCCCAAGAAACCTCTGACTCCGTACTTCCGCTTCTTCATGGAAAAACGAGCCAAATACGCCAAAATCCACCCGGAGATGAGCAACCTGGACCTGACCAAGATCCTGTCCAAGAAGTACAAGGAGCTGCCTGACAAAAAGAAGGTCTGGATCAGAGTCCAGAGTCCAGAGTGAACAAACCCGCCCAGTTGCTCCTGATTCAAATATGTTCTTTATTTTATTTCTGCAGCAAAAGTACATCACCGAGTTCCAGCGAGAGAAAGAAGAGTTTGAGAAGAACATGGCGAGATTCAAGTGAGTTCTGTTAACTAACTCTAGCTGTTAACTAACTTCATCTGTTAACTAACTCTAACTGTTAACTAACTCTAACTGTTAACTAACTATCTGTTAACTAACTGTTAACTAACTTTAACTGTTAACTAACTTTAACTGTTAACTGACTTTGACTGTTAACCAACTTTGACTGTTAACTAACTGTTAACTAACTCTGTTAACTTTCTTTATCTGTTAACTACCTCTAACTGTTAACTGACTTAATTAACTTAAACTGTTAACTAACTCTAACTGTTAACTAACTTTATCTGTTAGCTAAATGTTAACTAACTTAACTGTTAACTATAACTGTTAACTAACTATAACTGTTAACTAACTAACTGTTAACTATCTGTTAACTAACTTTAACTGTTAACTAACTTTATCTGTTAACTACCTCTAACTGTTAACTAACATTATCTGTTAGCTAAATGTTAACTAACTTTAACTGTTAACTAACTGTTAACTACCTCTAACTGTTAACTTACTTTATCTGTTAACTACCTCTAACTGTTAACTAACTTAACTAACTTTAACTGTTAACTTACTGTTAATTAACTGTTAACTAACTAAAGTAACTATAAAGTTGCTGAAATGTAACTTTTGGAATTTACTGCATAGAATTTGTTTAGCATGTTAGCATGCGGTGTTAGCCTTTCTGTGTAGCGAGCTAGCAATGCTAACGTCAGCCGCTCTGCAGGGAGGATCATCCTGAGCTGATAGAAGAGAGGAAGAAGTCCGACCTTCCAGAGAAACCTAAAACTCCTCAGCAGCTGTGGTACAACCACGAGAAGAAGGCGTACATGAAGCTTCACCCCGAGGTACACACTCACTGTATATACAGTATACATACACACAATGGCACTATTTGAGGGTGACTTTGGCTGTTCTTTGTTTCCAGGTGAGTCAGAAGGAGCTGAAGGAGGCTCTGAGGAGACAGTGGTCCCAGCTGTCTGACAAGAGGAGACTGAAGTGGATCAGCAAGGCCCTGGAGCTCCAGAAGGACTACGAGGTACCTGAACCAGACTGAACCCCTGCTTTTCTAGTCCAGAGGCTGATATCTGGTCCTGATAGTCCTGTGGTCTGGTTACAACCAGGATCAGGATTATTCTAGAGCCAGATCAGGAACAGTTTAGACCAGAGCAGGTATTCAGGACTGACCCGGGTTCTGCACTGTGTGTGTGTGTGTGTGTGTGCAGGGCAGTATGAGAGCGTACCATGAAGCTCATCCCGATGTGAACTCTGACGATCACGTTCGGTCTGTCCTCACCAAAGCAGAGAGACAGCTGAAGGACAAGTTCGACGGACGGCCGACAAAACCGCCACCGTGAGTCTTAATTAGCACTCGGCTAACGAGCAAAATGCTAACAAGTAAAATATAAACAAGAATGCTAATAAGTAAAATCAGTAAAATGGCTAAGTGTGTGTGTGTGTGTGTGTGTGTGTGTGTGTGTGTGTGTGTGTGTGTGTGGGGCTAGTAACGGGTACTCTCTGTACTGTGCGGAGCTGATGGTGAACATGAAGGACGTCCCCAGCACCGAGCGCATGGTGCTGTGCAGTAAACAGTGGAAGATGATGACGCAGAAAGAGAAGGACATGTTTCAGAAACGCTGCGAGCAGGTTGGTAGCAACGCGCTCACATCGTACCAGGAATCATTGTGCTGTCACTTCCTGCTGACTGATGTTTGTGTCTCATCAGAGGAAGAAGCAGTACGACGTCGACCTGCAGAGGTTCCTGGAGGTTCGTGACTTCAGCTCAGTCTCTAATAAAGGTACCACACAAAGCTAGAATGTACAATATAAACCTGGTTTCTGTCTCCAGAGTCTCCCCGAGGAGGAACGAGACCGAGTCATGACCGAAGAAAAACTGGGCGGGTCCAGACTGGGAGGAGGCGTGGCCTCCAGCCCACACAGAGCCAAGTCTCCATCTGCCAAGGTCTGAACTGTTTACGTCTGTACTGGTTTTATGTAACAGCCATAAACCGACCTGTGAGGACGTGGGTTTAGTCGTTGTTTTGTTTTAACCTCAGGAGCGCGGTCGGGAGGCGGAGCCAGAGCCGTGGGTTCCTGCCACACTGCCAAAAGAGAGACGGGACGGGAAGAAGACGGCGAAGCTCCCAGAGACGCCGAAAACAGCCGAGGAGATGTGGCAACACAGCGTGATCGGAGACTACCTGGCTAAATACAGAGTGAGCTTTATTTCTAATGATTACATTATCATTACATCTAATTACATTATTATTGTATTACTGCGTAGTTTCGGTCTTAATATCGTCCCACTGTTGGTCATGTGACCCACAGAGCGACCGCAGGAAGGCTCAGGCAGGGATGGAGGCGGCCTGGAAGTCGATGGAGAAGAAGGAGAAGATTCCTTGGATTAAGAAGGCGGCGGAGGACCAGAAGCGTTACGAGGTTCAGTACCAACCTGTGGTCAGTGAGCCACCCCCCCGACACTGACCCTCTGCCCCCCCGACACATTAATGTTATTAACCCGATGTGTTCACTGACTGTGTGTCTGTGATGTGTTCACTGACTCTGTGTCTGTGATGTGTTCACTGACTCTGTGTCTGTGATGTGTTCACTGACTGTGATGTGTTCACTGACTGTGTGTGTGTCTGTGATGTGTTCACTGACTGTGTGTCTGTGATGTCTTCACTGTCTCTGTGTCTGTGATGTGTTCACTGACTCTGTGTCTGTGATGTGTTCACTGACTCTGTGTCTGTGATGTGTTCACTGACTCTGTGTCTGTGATGTGTTCACTGACTGTGATGTGTTCACTGACTGTGATGTGTTCACTGACTGTGTGTGTCTGTGATGTGTTCACTGACTGTGTGTGTCTGTGATGTGTTCACTGACTGTGATGTGTTCACTGACTGTGTGTGTCTGTGATGTGTTCACTGACTGTGGGTGTCTGTGATGTGTTCACTGACTCTGTGTGTCTGTGATGTGTTCACTGACTGTGTGTGTCTGTGATGTGTTCACTGACTGTGGGTGTCTGTGATGTGTTCACTGACTCTGTGTGTCTGTGATGTGTTCACTGACTGTGTGTGTCTGTGATGTGTTCACGGACTCTGTGTCTGTGATGTGTTCACTGACTGTGATGTGTTCACTGACTGTGATGTGTTCACTGACTGTGTGTGTCTGTGATGTGTTCACTGACTGTGTGTGTCTGTGATGTGTTCACTGACTGTGTGTGTCTGTGATGTGTTCACTGACTGTGATGTGTTCACTGACTGTGTGTGTCTGTGATGTGTTCACTGACTGTGATGTGTTCATTGACTGTGTGTGACTGTGATGTGTTCACTGACTGTGTGTGTCTGTGATGTGTTCACTGTCTGTGTGTGTCTGTGATGTGTTCACTGTGTGATGTGTTCACTGACTGTGATGTGTTCACTGTCTGTGATGTGTTCACTGTCTGTGATGTGTTCACTGTCTGTGATGTGTTCACTGTCTGTGATGTGTTCACTGTCTGTGATGTGTTCACTGACTGTGATGTGTTCACTGACTGTGATGTGTTCACTGACTGTGAGGTGTTCACTGACTGTGATGTGTTCACTGTCTGTGATGTGTTCACTGACTGTGTGTGTCTGTGATGTGTTCACTGTCTGTGATGTGTTCACTGTCTGTGATGTGTTCACTGACTGTGGGTGTCCTGCAGAGGGAGCTGCTGGAGATGAGGACTCCACCAGCAGGTCAGAGTCAGAGGAAACCGAAGTTTGACGGAGAACCAAAGAAACCTCCAGTGTGAGTGGACGTCAGTTATTTAATCTACTTGTTGTCTGTATGAATGTTACGAGCATCGTGGACCACGTTAGCTGGGGAAGCTAACATTAGATCGGTCGTTTACCATACCATTTCTAAGTTAACGTTAGCTGGCGCTGCAGTGTTGACGCTGGCGTTTGCGTCCAATAGGAGCGGCTATCAGATGTTCTCCCAGGAGCTGCTGACCAACGGCGAGCTGAACCACTTCAGCCTGAAGGAGCGGATGGTGGAGATCGGGAAGCGGTGGCACAAACTGAGCCAGACTCAGAAAGACAAGTACAAGAAGATGGTGGAGGAGCAGCAGGGGGAGTACAAGGCCGAGCTGGAGGCCTGGGTCAAGGTAACGGCGCCACGGCAACTGCACTGTCGCCACGGCAACCACAGCATCAGTTCACACAGAAATAAAATTAAGAGCATTTCTTTTATGTGATTCTTCAAAATACTAGAATAGAAACACGTCTACTCTGAACGTCGCCCTCTAGAGGCAAACACACAAAGAACAGTTCATTAAAATGTCTGATTATTTCTTCTCTCCAGTCTTTGTCTCCTCAGGATCGAGCGGTCTATAAGGAGTTCTCCACCTCAGTGAGTCACTACTATTATTACTGCTAATAACACACTGAAGCTAGTGTTAGCAGCAGGACACCGCGACATAAAAGAATAAACACTTAATACAGCACATTCAGCACAACTCCCTGTCCTGTGCGTAGCACCCACCCACAGCGGTTACCGGGAGGCCTTGTTTAGAGACGCATTGGCAGAAGGTACGAAGCTCCTGCAATAGTGAGCACGTTTACAGGCCAGAGTCCTGTATTGAAGAGGATTGTGGGGGAGTTGCTGGGTGATTCTAGGTGCTGTAGGAGGGAGTGAAGGAGGCATGCCACAGAATCCTCACTCCCCCTTTTGGTCTTGTAGGCAAACTGATACGGGTCCAGATGTGGTTCAACAAACGGGTGGATGATGTTAAGTATCAGTTTTTCGAGACATTTCATGACAATGGAAGTGAATGCAACTGGCTGGTAGTGATTAAGTTCTGAGGGGCGGGGTTTTAGGTACTGGTATGATAGTGGATGTCTTCCAGAGGGAAGGTACTGAAGCAGTCCTGTAGGATTCCCACAAGATGTCGTGGAGGATTGGGGAGAGCTCTGTGGCGCAGACTCTGAGCACCCTCGCTTGAATGCCGTCAGGTCCCTGAGCCTTGCCTGGCTTACACCTGCTCAGCTGCCGGCGTACATCGTCCACAGTGAATGGCGCCTGGTGTGTTGTCTCTGGGATTGGCAGGGTTTCCAGCAGAGTCTCGCCGTCCTCGGAGCAGTCGATTGTGTCGAACCTCGAGTAGAATCTGTTCAGGTTGTCTGCGAATGATTATAGTCGGCACAATGGACCTTCGGAGCCGTGGTTTTCTGATTAACGGCCTTTTGGACACATGCACATTTTCTGACCTTTGCGGCTTCAGAACAACGAGCTGTCACAATGATGGCGTGGCACCGGGGAAGCTAACAGTTTTCACTTGTTTAATTAGTAGCTGGTAGCTTAGCGACTGTTATATATGTAATGCTCAGAGATTCACTTTAAGCTAATATAACAATAGCAATGTGCAACAAAGCTAACACCATAACCAACATAACGTTAGCAGTACAGTCACACAGCATTTAGCTAGCAGGCTGGATTCGCTGGTTAGCATTTCAGTGTGTCAACCTTTGTTTGTTTGTCAGAAACGTCGCAGCACCACTAAAGTTCGCAGCAGTCCCGGAGCCAAAGTCCGAGTTACAGCGAAGGGGAAGGCGGCGAGTTCGAGGGCCGCAGCACAGACAGTCGGAGTGGCCAAGCGGGCGATGGCGTACCGAGCCAAGGTAGCACACATATACAGACATTATATTTAATATAATATAAACAAATATATCAAATTAAAATATGACATCCAGGTGAGTGAATGTGTCCGATAATGACACACTGAGGATCAATAACCCATCACATCATTTATTAATAAACTTCATCAACTGAGGAGGTTTGAAGCCCTCAGTGCGATCTGTCAGGCTTTGTGTCCTAAGGCAGCATCTCACTCTGTCTGTCTGTCTGTCTGTCTGTCTGTCTGTCTGTCTGTCTGTCTGTCTGTCTGTCTCTCTCTCTCTGTCCGTCTTCCAGCAGGACATGTCCGACTCAGACGAGGAGGAGGAGAAGAGCGACTCATCTGACTCTGACGAAGACGATGAGACATCAGGATCCACAGACAGCGACGATGACGATGACGAGGTCATAATAATAATAATAATAATAATAATAATAATAATAATAATAATATTATTATTTTATAATTATTCAGTCTTTGCTGAAAAATGTTTTACAAAGAAATATAATAAATCTAATAAAGTGGAAAATAGTTATATTATTAAATTGATGCTGTTTATTATTTTCCAAAAGCTTGTTTATTGACGGTTTATAAGAGAAAATGATTTGTTATCAAGTTGTTGCTAACGTTGTGATCGGGGCACAGCACAAAAAGGGGCGCGGCTTAAGAAGAGTCACTTTAAGCCACACCCTCTGTCACCTGATAATGTTTCCACCTGATCGATGTTCAAAGTTTTATTTGTTTCCTCAGAATGACGAAGACGACGAGGACGATGATGACGATGAAGATCAGAGCTCCTCTGAGGAGTCCAGTGACTCGGACTCGGACTAGCTCCGCCCCCTCCACCTCATTGGAGAGGACAGGCTGTGCAGGCCACGCCTCCTCGCATGCCAATCATCCCGGCGGACCAATGAGAAGTGGTGATGTCATTCTGCGGTCACGCTGGCCCCTCCCACCTCCCCTCTGAAAGGGGGCGGAGCCTGATGGAGTGTTTTGTTACTCGTGTGTTTATTTCTGTTTTTTATGGAGTGTTTGGTTTTTATCTGAGGGACGTTTCAGATGGGTGGAGAGGTCTGTTTTATTTTTCGGAGGGATGACAGGGGTTGTACAGAGTTTGACAGGCGGGGAGGGGCGGAGACTATTGGTTGTCGTTAGTTACGGCTGAGGGAGGAGCCAGTGTTCAGCCTCCAATCAGCCGCCTGCCTGAGAAAATTAACAAATAAATGCACTTTTTCTCATTTCTGTTGTCTGATTTCATCAAACTCACCACGACATCACAACTACAGGTTACATCAGCGTGACATCACGACTGAAACAATTTAACCTTTAATTTGAAAATTCCTTAATGAAGACATGAAGTATGAAAACTAACTGCAGCTTTAATTTAACTATATAATTATAATTAATGTTAATGTCAGTCTATGGAGTCGCCTCATAAATATCCAAATTTGTCTGTTAGCTTAGCCTTGCTAACACAAGTTCCTGTGTCATGGCGGTACATAAAACTGGACACCACAGACAACTTTCGGTGAAAGCTCACAAACAGCGAAACTCTAAATCTGATCGATCAATAGAGTCTCTGGAAGGAGTTGAAGTACAATTGGTCAGATAACAATGTAATAATGTAATGTATGTAGCCACAATGACGGAGGATGAATAATAATAACAATATCAGTAATATTGAGGCTATTATTATTATTACTACTATTGTCACTGCTCGTTGTCTCCCATCGTTGTTGTTGTCGTTGTCATCTTCATGTTCATCATCATCAGCCACTACTATTAGTGTAGTTGTTGCTACTGTTGTTGCTGTGAACCTGTCTGTCTGTCTCTCTCTCCCTTCTTAAAAAGTCCACTCTTGACCCAGGGGTTTTAGCCAACTATAGACCGATTTCTAACCTCCCCTTCCTCTCTAAGATTCTGGAGAAAGTAGTCGCCAAAGAGTTGTGTGACTTTCTACATAACAATAGTTTATTTGAGGATTTTCAGTCAGGATTTAGAGTTCATCATAGCACAGAGACAGCTCTGGTTAAAGTTAATAATGACCTTCTGACTGCTTCTGACAATGGACTTGTCTCTGTACTTGTATTATTAGATCTTAGTGCTGCATTTGACACCATTGACCATAATATTCTTTTACAGAGACTTGAGCATCAAATTGGCATTAAAGGAACCGCACTAAGCTGGTTTAAGTCAGATTTATCAGATCGCTCGCAGTTTGTTGACGTATGTTGAGTATGTTAACGATGAATCTTCAATAAATACTACAGTTAGTCATGGAGTTTCACAAGGTTCTGTACTTGGACCAATACTATTTACTTTATATATGCTCCCTTTAGGCAACATTATTAGGAATCACTCCATTAACTTTCACTGTTATGCAGATGATACGCAGTTATATCTATCGATCAAGCCCGATGAAATTAATCAATTATCTAAATTACAAACATGTCTTAAGGACATAAAATCCTGGATGACCTGCAATTTTCTGATGTTAAACTCAGAAAAAAATGAAATTCTTGTTCTTGGCCCCAAGAACCTTAGAGACTCACTGTCTAAAGATATAGTTACTCTAGATGGCATTAACTTGGCCTCTAGCACCACTGTCAGGAATCTCAGAGTTATCTTTGATCAGGATTTGTCATTTAACTCCCACATACAGCAGACCTCTAGGACAGCCTTCTTTCATTTACGTAATATTAGAAAAATTAGACACATCCTATCACAGACAGATGCAGAAAAACTAATCCATGCATTTGTTACTTCAAGGCTGGATTACTGCAACTCTTTATTATCAGGTTGCCCCAATAAGTCCATTAAAACGCTCCAATTAATTCAGAACGCTGCAGCACGAGTACTGACAGGAACTAGAAAAAGAGATCACATCTCTCCTGTACTAGCTTCTCTGCATTGGCTCCCTGTAAAATGTAGAATAGAATTTAAAATCCTCCTCCTCACCTATAAAGCTCTTCATGGTCAGGCCCCTTCATATCTTAAAGAGCTCATAGTACCCTATTACCCCACTAGAACACTACGTTCTCTGAATGCTGGGCTACTTGTGGTTCCTATAGTCTCTAAAAGTAGAACAGGAGCCAGAGCCTTCAGTTACCAAGCTCCTCTCCTGTGGAACCAGCTTCCAGTTGTGGTTCTGGAGGCAGACACCCTCTCCACATTCAAGAGTAGGCTTAAGACGTTCCTCTTTGATAAAGCTTATAGTTAGGCCTGGATCAGGTGAGTCCTGAACCATCCCTTAGTTATGCTGCTATAGGCCTAGACTATCGGGGGATTTCCCATGGTGCACTGAGCTCCTCTCTTCCTCTCTCTCTCTGCACTCATTCATGTCCCATTAATGCATGTTACTAACTTCACTTCTTCCCCAGAGTTCTTGTGCTTTCCCGTCTCGCAGGTTCTTATCGATCCTGGTGGAGCCTCCTGCCATGGTCCTGCTAGATTGCCATTGCCAATACTGTTGTTGCTGTCTGTCTGTCTGTCTCTCTCTCTCTCTCTCTCTCACCCCAACTGGTCGAGACAGACGACCACCCACCTATAGCCGAAGGATCTGTCCTAGGTTTCTGCCTTTTAACAGGCAGTTTTTCCTTGCCCTTGTCTCCAAGGTCTTGCTCATGGTGGTACTGTTGGGTCTCTATAAATAATGTTATAAAGAGTTCGGTCTAGACCTGCTCTATTTGAAAAGTGTCCTGAGATAACTTCTGTTATGAATTGGCGCTATACAAATAAAACTGAATTGAACTGAATTAATATTGTAACAGTAATGTAGTAATGTGCACAGAGGAACGACAGCAGTCCAGTTGGATTTGAGCTTTTATAACATTTGAATGAATAGATTTGTAGAATATAAACAAGCTTCTTTCCTTCCTCAAACATCCGTCCGTTCGTCCGTCTGCTGATACACAAATAAATAATCTGACCTTTGACCCCGTTAATCACCCACACATCATCCTGAAGCCTTTGGCACACACTCACAGAGAACTACAGTACCCATCAGCCCCTGCTCTCACTACAGACCCCCCCCTCCTCCCCGATCGTCTGAGTCTGATTTTATAAAACAGTAACGCCCGAAAAACAGAGTCCCCCACATGCATCATCCTCGTTACCATGGTTACCAAACTTTATAAAAAGGGACTCACCCCCCCACAACCCCCCCTAAAAGATACAATGTTTGTTCATCCACACCGCGACCAATCAGAGCACAGCCTGACCACGCCTTAAAGGACCCGTCAGCTGATGGTCAAGAACAGGCCCTGACGGTGCGTTCAAGAACACAGGTTCCTCAACGCACCAGAGCGCCACAGGGAAACCACCTATTAAATGACTCTGGAAATCAGCGGGAGGCTCCTTTAAAAGCCGCACAGCCTGATGGGACCTGCACGTCAACATACAGCTGCTACTGCTCAACATTTTTATTACTGATTAACTGATCACTTTCTGTGAGGCTGTGCAGACTGATTGATTAATAAAGGCAGAATTATCCAACTGATTGATCAATAATTGATAGTTGCAGCTGTAATAAACGTGAGGATGTGGTTGTTCTTTTCCTCCCTAAAGTCTGACTGACCTCTGAACCCAAAGCCCCTCCCCCCCTCACCCCACACACACACACACACACACACACACACACACACACACACACACACACACACACAGTCATAGCGGGACGTCCAGCAGCTTCTTGTGCAGGTACTGCTTCACCTCCTCGATCCCGTTCAGCTTCTCCAGCTCGTGGTACGGCAGCTGAGAGGGGACACAAATACTGTTATTGTTATTATTATAATATATGGAGCAGTATTTACTGAACCTTCTATCAAACATGAATCAGGAAGCTGTGGGGGGGGCGGTCTGACCTGGAGGATGATGTATCCCAGCAGTCTGAGGTGGCGGTCCCTCATGGCCCGGGACCCCACCAGGACCTCGGAGTTGTGGCAGTAGTGCCACTTATCGTTGACGGACATGATGACCCTGCAGAGACACACACAGTCACACAGGGTCCAGGACCAGTCTGATCAGGTCTACTCTGAGAGGGACTCACCTCCGGATCTGTCTCTGGTCTGTTGGGGGGTTGTCTGTGTCGGGTCTGTTGGGGGGGTGGAGTTGTGGCGGCGACGGGGGCCCCCTGTCGGCCCCGGACCCCTCGGAGTACGCCACGCCCTCATAGAATCTGGGCAGCTCACAGTCCGTCCCCTGGCCCCCCGCCCCCCCCTCATCCTCCAGGATCTTCCCGATGGAGAACTGGAACAGTGAGTCCGGGGCCGCAGCCCCTGCAGGCCCCTGGGTCCCGGGCTGGGCCAGGCTGTCAGAGGGGGGGCTGCTGAGTGTGGAGCTGTCCTGGCTCTCCAGAGAGTGCTCCTTTGCCAGACTGGAGTAGTACTCCGCCGCGGGGACGTAGTAGGGGCCGTATTCCAAGGGGCCGCCGTTAGTCCCAGGCCGCGAGGGCCCCGGAGGCGCTGTCCCCCCTGGCGTAACACGGATGTGGTGGGGTAAGAAGGTCCTGGGCTCCATGGCCTCGCCCACGTGCTCGGCGCCCTCCTCCAGCGCCGCAAACGGAGAGAACTTCTGAAACTCTGAGGTCACGACAGCAACCGCACTGTCAGCCGGTTTAGACGCCGACGCAACGCAGGACGGAGGAACAAGGCTGAGTGACACTCCGGTCCTGATGGGTAGGACCCGACCAGAACTGTCCATCCACAGCACAAAGTCTGGAGAACAACACAGTAATCAGATTACAACGGGTGGAAAAGTACTTAGTGTGTAGCGCTCAGTGTGTAGTAGTACTCAGTGTGGTAAACGGTAAATGGACCTGTACTTGTATATTGCCTTTCTAGTCTTCTGACCACTCAAAGCGCTTTTACACTACGTGCCACATTCACCCTTTCACACACATTCGATAATGGCAAAGTCCATTGAACAGAAACTAATATTCATACATCGGGAGCAATTTGGGGTTCAGTATCTTGCTCAAGGATACTTCGACATGCAGCACCAGGAGCAGGGGATCGAACCCACAACCTTCTGATTAAGGAACGACCCCCTCTGCCTCTGAGCCACAGCTGCCCTGTGTAGTAGTACTCAGTGTGTAGCACTCAGTGTGTAGTACTCAGTGTGTAGTACCTGTGTAGTATCCTGGAGGGAGTACTTCGTCTTGTTTGTAGTTCTGTTCTCCAACCAGCTGTCTCAGTGCCTCCGCCACCAGACCTTTATAACTGACAGCAGATATTCATTAACACCACATATAACCAGATACAACTAGTAACAACTAGTAACAACCAGATACAACCAGATACAACCAGTAACAACCAGTAACAACCAGATACAACCAGTAACAACCAGTAACAACCAGTAACAACCAGATATAACCAGATATAACCAGATATAACCAGATACAACCAGATACAACCAGTAACAACCAGATACAACCAGTAACAACCAGTAACAACCAGTAACAACCAGATATAACCAGATATAACCAGATATAACCAGATATAACCAGATATAACCAGATACAACCAGATATAACCAGATACAACCAGATATAACCAGATATAACCAGATACAACCAGATATAACCAGATACAACCAGATACAACCAGATACAACCAGATACAACCAGATACAACCAGTAACAACCAGATATAACCAGATACAACCAGATACAACCAGATACAACCAGACACAGCCAGATACAACCAGATACAACCAGTAACAACCAGTAACAACCAGATATAACCAGATATAACCAGATACAACCAGATACAACCAGATATAACCAGATACAACCAGTAACAACCAGACACAACCAGTAACAACCAGACACAACCAGACACAACCAGACACAACCTGTAACAACCAGATTAGGGATGGGCATCGATTTTTGAATATTCGAATAGTCATTAAATCATATAAAATCGAATAGTTCATCATATCTGGAAAAAAAATATGTTGTATTACTGGTGCCTTCCGCACGGGGGCAGCGTAGCATTTGATGATACATAGTGTGGCGGGCTAGATGCCAGGCTGTAGAAGGAAACAAACAGAGAAGAAGATATGATGGAGAGATTACTGAAGCAACCGTCAAAAAGTTATTTCAAAAAAACAAGTGACACAGAGGTACAATTCGTATCACAAGTCTACAACAGCCATGCACTCTCATATGAGAGCAAAGCACCCGGGTGAAAGCGGCGGGCCGTCGTCACAGCAACAGTCAATTGCTGGATTTGCCACTAGGAGACGTACGTGTGATGACAGACAAACAGCGGCCCTCATCTCAAAGACGATTGTAAAAGACATGCTCCCCATCAGCTTCGTTAGTTAAAATTAGCGAGTGCTTCCTTGTGTGTGCCCACCACATCTGTGCTGTCGGAGAGGGTGTTTTCCAAGGCGGGACTTATTGTAAATAGACTTCACTTCCGTCTTCATCCCGAGCATGTGGACATGCTCATCTTTCTAAATAAAAACATGTAATAGGCTGCAGTCGTAAACTATTGCTCTGGTTATGAAGACGGACGGGCATGTTAAAAATGTTCACGTCAGCGATGCTGTCTCTCAGGTATGTTCAGTTGTTCAGTAAAATATTATTATTGCTTGAAGTCACCGCACTATGTGTTCAGTGTAACACTACTATAATGTTTTGCTATGAATTGCATCACTGTCAAAATAAAAAGACAGAGTTCTGAAAAATTGCGGCGGATCTCTTTCTGAGCGAAGGGGGGGAGGGGGGATATTATTAGATTAATATTCGAATATTAATCGATTAGTACCCCACGATTATGGAATAGTACTTTTGCCTGAAATGCACATCCCTAAACCAGATACAACCAGTAACGACCAGTAACAACCAGTAACAACCAGGTACAACCAGATACAACCAGTAACGATCAGTAACGACCAGATACAACCAGATAGACTTAGAGACTTAGACTTCACTTTATTGATCTCTTTGGGATGACTCCCTGAAGGAAATTTAATAAAATACTATTATAGATACAACCAGTAACAACCAGATATAACCAGTAACAACCAGATACAACCAGATACAACCAGTAACAACCAGATATAACCAGATACAACCAGTAACAACCAGATACAACCAGATACAACCAGATATAACCAGATACAACCAGTAACAACCAGATACAACCAGTAACAACCAGATATAACCAGGTACAACCAGGTACAACCAGATACAACCAGTAACAACCAGATACAACCAGTAACAACCAGTAACAACCAGATATAACCAGATACAACCAGATATAACCAGATACAACCAATAACAACCAGACAGAATTAGAGACTTAGACTTAACTAGGGTTGCAGAATTCCGGTAATTTTCAAAGTTGGAAACTTTCCATGGGAATTAACGGGAATAAACTGGATATTTTTAATATTGCTTGTTATAATACTTTTAGTCTATAACAGGGAACTTAAATGTAGTTGAAAAGAAACATCTTGCAGGATAATCTTGCTTAAAACAACCTGATTTAATGCAACTTCAGTTGAATGTCCTCTTTATATTCGTCAATGACATGCACACACGCAGTAATCAGCATAGGCTACTACATACTTGCCAACATTTATTTTTTAAAATATGGGAGTTTTTTTTTGTTTTGGGGCGGGGGGGTTAATACATAACCCATTGCTATTAACCTATTTGGGTTAATTGTATTGTACGCATATAACATAACCATAGCCATAGTAAATCAAAGGCAGCATGCTAGCTACCATCATATGTTAAGCTTAAGGTCAATGGTTTGGGCTACTACTTATGGTGCTTTCCGTTTGTCTCGTAAATCCCCCGTCTGACTTGCTCTGACGCGAGAACGTGACATAATTACCCGGCTTGTACCACTTATAGCGTTCTGTTTGTCTTTGGGCGTTACGAGTCAGAAAGAACATGGACGCCACCAGTGCAGCAGCTGTGTGGTTATTGTTTGTGGCTCATCTAAACAAGCTCAATGTGAAATAATGTTTTTCTACAGAAACACAAACATTAATTACAGTAATTCCGTTATTGCAAGTCTTACATTTCAATAATATTTTGCCATTTTCGCCTATTTCAATTTCAACAAGTGGCGTTTGTCTTAACAAAACAAAACTTTACATTGTATTGCACGCACAGCAACACCATGCAATACATACATTGGTGACCGGACTAAAGCAGCAATGTAAACAAGTGTGTAGGAGAATTTAAAGTCGACATTGAAACGACCAACGTAGCACAAATACAAAGAAAATACATCTCAATATTGTATGAATTACCCAACTTTTCCAGTTAATTCTCCTAAATTCCCATTAATTCCCATAATTTCCCATTAATTCCCATGAAAGTTTCCAAATTGGAACGTTTCCAAAATTCCCCAGCTTATCTTTCCATGGAAAGTTTCCGGAAAGATTCCGGAAATTTACTGGAAAATGTTCGCCCCTTTGCAACCCTAGACTTCACTTTATTGATCCCTTTGGGAAGACTCCCTCAAGGAAATTGAATAAAATACTATAATAGATACAATCAGTAACAACCAGATACAACCAGATACAACCAGTAACAACCAGATACAACCAGATACAACCAGTAACAACCAGTAACATTCATCAGACATTTTAGTGCAGATTGGACTTCCTGTTTCTTGGCAAAAGACTAAAAGTTGGCCCAAGGTGTCCAAATTTGGTCGAAAACTCAAGGTTTTGATAACTTTGACCGAATCTGAAGTTGATCAGATCTTGTGCAAATCACCAAAAAATAACCACTAAATATACGTAAATAATAAAAACTTCAAACAAACTTCACTGACCTTCCTTCCGTAATACGAACATCCGATGTTCATTTGTAATCGAGCATAATTAAGACAGAAGCTAAATACAGTTATGGAGAAAAAAACAGCTAAACTAAAAAGGTAACAGGAACTAGTATATTGTTAGCCAAGCATAGTAATGTCTAATGGATTTCACCATACTATTGTGTTATTAAGCTATATTATTAAACTATTAAAAAGTTCTTACGATCATGATTTGAATCTTTTTTTTTTTTTTTTACTTTCTGACAAAGTAGTTGCTGCTTTCTGCCCTTGTAGGGCAGAATACATGTATAGGTGTGTGTGTATTACCTGTACTTGCGGTTGACCTCATCAGCAGTCAGGGCGTGGTCAAACATCAGGACCTTGTGGGCGTCCTGCAGTCGCGGTCCAGAGTACTCGCGGTACTCAAGCTCCACAGCAGCATCCAGCAGAGAGAGGTAGCGGCGGACGATGAGCGCGTACGGACTGTCTGTGGGCGGGGACAAAGGTTAGTCACCTCACACTGCAATGACTGGTGGATGTACTAGTGGACATACTGGTGGTCGTACTGGTGACGTTGATGATGAAGGCGGAGGAGAAGACTCGGTGCAGCACCAGGCCGGGGAAATGTCCCAGCTGGAACAGAGACATGAGGATGTTGACGGTGGCGAGCGGCGAACTGAGCGCCTTCAGCTCCACCACCTCCTCTAGCCGAGAGAAGAACTGCTGCTCGTTGGACGGACGGTAACTCATCCTGCTGAACGGGAACACCAGCTTCTGGATCACCTGAGGGCACACACAAACACACCTGCAGAGCCCCGTACGCGCACACACACCTGACACCCGGTCGCCGCCCATCCCTCGCTCACCTTGCTGTCCAGGTACTCTGCCTTCTTCACCAGGAAGTCCGCGATGGTGTCGAGCAGCCGCGTCTCTCTCAGCCGATGGCGAGCGATGTATTTGGCGATCAGAGCCATGGTGTACGGAGTGATGCTGTCCACCTTCTTCGGCAAATCCTCTGTGAGATCAACAGGTCACATGATCAATACGTCTGTCTGACAGAGAGAAACCTCGCCATGACCTCTACACCCGCCCCCTAATAGTCCAATGAATGACGAGAAGAGTCTCAGTCGACAATTTCCATCAAAGCAAAGTTAAACTGTGTTCAGGAGCTTCCCGGCAGTGTTCCCTGCTGGGTCCCTCTGCTGCTACACTAGCAGTGTTTAAACTCCCCCCGTCCTTCCAGCTCCCAGTCCGGGTACAGGCAGCTAATAGGACAGCTAACTAGCTAACAGCAGCTAATACAGTTAGCATATGCAACATTGCAGCGGTCAGAGACTTCCTGTGTTACAAGAGAATAGGTCCGTGTTGCAACAATCCTCTGATACTTTGGTCCCGGGGGCGAGGAGCAGATCCTGAAAGCAGTCTAACGTTGGTTTGGTTTCACTGAGACTCTCAGAGACTGATGGTTCAGTCAACTGTTAGCGGGCAGCGCTATTTTTTTCTGTTAAAATTATAGATATTAAATCATTAAATGAATATCCTAAACATTTTAGCACTAGTAAATCTTCAGTCAGGGACAGCTGTAGTGTTGGTAGATCTGGGTTCCATTTTGGATCAAACACCAGGATTCACTGTCAGTGACGGCAGTCCTCGCTCTCAGCTCCTTCAGGTAGATCATTAGTGTTAACGAGGCTGTTTACCTGCCAGACTGCTGATGAACCTCTCCTGTCTGTTTTGGTAGAACAGGTGAGAGCTGAAGATCAGCTCCAGACTCTTGTTGCTCGCCTCCCGAGCGCACGCCGCCAGCATCTCATCCAACAGCGCCATCTCCTGGTCACGGACGCCACTGACACTCGCCAGCGTGTGTTTGACCAGACGTAAGATCTTCCTGAAAGATGGAGGAAGACACATCAGTCCCATATATACACAAATGTCTTAATGTCAATCAATGTTTGTATCCTATCATTTGAAAGCCACTGTATGGGACAGGCCTCTGTATGGGACAGGCCTCTGTATGGGACAGGCCTCTGTATGGGACAGGCCACTGTATGGGACAGGCCTCTGTATGGGACAGGCCACTGTATGGGACAGGCCTCTGTATGGGACAGGCCTCTGTATGGGACAGGCCACTGTATGGGACAGGCCTCTGTATGGGACAGGCCTCTGAATGAGACAGGCCTCTGTATGGGACAGGCCTCTGTATGGGACAGGCCTCTGTATGGGACAGGCCTCTGTATGGGACAGGCCTCTGTATATTCTGTCACCTGTTGGCGAGCAGCTGTTCAGGGTTTGGAGTAGTGCTGTTACTGTTAGCTGCGGCGGCGTTAGCGCCCCCTGTAGCAACAGCAGGTTCCTGCAGCGAGCGCCACTTGAGTCTGTAGTAGGAGAGCAGCAAGAAGAGTGTCTGTGGGTGGCGCTCTCTCTCCAGGTTCTTCTCCAGGCCGGCTAGGCAGGCCTCGGTCAGAGGGTGCTGGCTGCCCGGGTGGAGCTTCATACTGGAGCTGAACACCATGGACACATCCTTCTGGTTGAACTGGTTCAGTCTGGACTGAGACTCCGCCTCCAACACCTGGACGACCTGTGAGTCACTGGGAAGACCTGAAGAGAGAACCAGACCCCCTCTCAGATCAGACCTGATGGTCCAGACTTTCTGTATAAACAGAGTCCGTCTAGACCGGCTCTATTTTGAAAAGTGTCCTGAGATAACTTCTGTTATGAATTAGGCCTAAACAAAGCCGACATACAGCTCTCTCTCTCTCTCCCCCTGGTGGCTGACTGCAGTATAGACTCTCTCTCTCTATCTCCCCCTGGTGGCTGACTGCAGTATAGACTCTCTCTCTCTATCTCCCCCTGGTGGCTGACTGCAGTATAGACTCTCTCTCTCTATCTCCCCCTGGTGGCTGACTGCAGTATAGACTCTCTCTTTCTCTCTCTATCTCCCCCTGGTGGCTGACTGCAGTATAGACTCTCTCTCTCTCTCGCTATCTCCCCCTGGTGGCTGACTGCAGTATAGACTCTCTCTCTCTATCTCCCCCTGGTGGCTGACTGCAGTATAGACTCTCTCTCTCTATCTCCCCCTGGTGGCTGACTGCAGTATAAACTCTGTGCAGCTCTACCTGTGACGATTCTATATGTTCACACAGGCGTTATTGATCTGACATCAGTGAGTTAGCACATGATCACCAGCTGATGGCAGTATTGATCTGTAGCTGCTTCCTGCGTGACTCACCGAGCGCCGCCACGGCGTACAGACAGTTGACGATGCTGAAGTTGTCGAACTTGGCGCAGTCGTTGACGATGGCGTTACAGAGCGTGTGAAAGTCCTGATGCTCCAGGATCTGACGCCCGTCTCCCCCCTCCGCTCCTCCTCCTGCGGCGTCGGGGTCGCCCACCCCTCCTCGTGGCGGCGGCGCAGCCTGCAGCAGCTGTCCAATCTTCTGCAGGGCGACGGGGTAGTGGTTGTGGGAGATCTTGGCCGGGTTCTGGGTGACCCAACGCAGAACCTCATCGGGACGCCGCGAGCGCTCGATCAGACGCTTCATGGTGAAGAACGTATCGTAGCTCATCTTTTCGTGGATGAAGTTCCACGTCTTCTTCTTGCTGCCAGCGGTGGCGGCCCCTCCCCCTCCGACTGGAGCCCCGCCTCCATACGCGTGGAAGTGTGTGTGGTGCTGGTAGTGGGGGGGCAGCGGGGGCGGGGCCAGGTGGGCGGGCTGCGGGTGGGGGTGGTAGTGGTGATGGAAGTGTGCTCCTCGATGGGGGTCGGGGCGGCCCTGGTACAACGGGTAGGCCTGGGGAGGGGGGGCCGGGTGAGGGAGGTGAGGGTGAGGGGGGTGGGGCGCCTCGAGCATGGCCAGCCCCGCCCTCCGCCCCTGTTTGACCCCCCCTCCTCCTCCACCTCCTCCTCCTCCCCCTCCACCTCCTCCTCCTCCCCCCGCGGGGCTGTACAGGCGGGTGGCGTACATGGCAGCAGACTGAGTGGCGGAGCGGGGGGGGCAGGGAGGGAGGCGGTGAGCTCGTCTCAGGAGGCGCCACCCAGTGGACAAACACAGCATAGTCCAACAGCCAGGACGCCTGGAGGCAACAACACACTGCTCCTACAGGGGGAGGGAGGGAGACAGACAGACAAAGAGAGAGAGAGAAAGAGAGAGAGAGATAGAGATAGAGACATACAAATATACATTACAAAATATAATGAAAATATAAAACTATCTCTCACTCTCTTTGTCTGTCTTTCTCTTTAAAGGTTTAAATGGTTTTAAAGGTCAGTTAGTCAGCCCAGTCAATTAAATTCAATTCAATTCAAATGGCTTAATTGGCATGATGTAACACTGTACATATTGCCAAAGCAAGCGTTTGGAATTAAAAATAATAACAATAAAGGAAAACAATATTTACAATAAATTAATTATAATCTATACTGTTGGTAATACTGTAACTATTATTGACTCAATCACAATCACAGACACAATCAATCAATCTCAGTCAATAAGTAATTAATTACAATGAATCAATCAATCAATCAGTTTGTGTCAACTAAAAATGTCATTAAAACAGTTAAAACAAGTAGTCTGTTGTCAATAGAACAGTAATAACAAATTATTAAATTTAATATATAATATATATAATATTAAAATATATTAAAATTAAAATAAAATAGATAAAACTGTAAACCTGTGTGTGTGTGTGTGTGTGTGTGTGTGTGTGTGTGTGTGTGTGTGTGTATATATATATATATATATATATGTATATATATATATATAGCATTTCTCCCAGTAAATAGGGGAGTTTCTGTGTGTAATAATTCGAATTTGGGGTATATTTGGGAATTGTTTTTCTCTTAAAGTTTTGAATTTAGGGCATGAGGTTAGAAAGTGCAGCTCTGTCTCGACCTGTCCTCTGTCACACTGGGAGCAGAGTCTCTCCTCTTCTGGTAGCCAGTTCTGTCTGTGGCGACCCGTTTCTATGGCCAGGCTGTGCTCACTCAGTCTGTACATTGTCAACATTTTAATGTTTCTCTTTATTGCATAGAAAGCTCTCCTTGCTTTGTCCCTCAGATCTTTCACAGCCATGTTGAGGTTTCCTGTGTATGTAATGTTGAGGCCAAGGTAAGTGTAGTTTTTTGTATGTTGTAATTTAGTGGTGTCTAAATAGAAATTGTGTGTAACCTGATTTCTGTAATGTTTCTGAAAGATCATTATCTTAGTCTTTGCTGTGTTTACTGTCAGGGCCCAGGTCTGACAAAATCTCTGCAGGAGATTAAGGTGCTGCTGCAAACCTTCTTTAGTAGGTGAGAGCAACACTAAGTCATCTGCATATAGCAGACCTCTGATCTCTGTGTCGTTCAGGGTGAGGCCAGGTGCCGTGGAACGCTCTAGTTGGTTTGCTAATTCATCTCCGGCCCTGGGAGAAGAACGCTGTTTGTTTGTTTCCAATCTTTACGGCACACAGTTCTGTGTGAACTGTTCAAAGACTCTCAAACACCAGCAGAATATCTATCAGGATCAATATCTATCAGGATCAATATCCATCAGGATCAATATCATCAGGATCAATATCTAACGAGTTGCAGCCAATCAGAGCCTCTCTCCAGCAGACAGGAAGCAGAGAACCAGTAGTTACAATGGTAACGCCAGCATCACTCACACACAGACAGTGAATGATCCAGCAATCAATTCTATTGATCAGTATACACTGTATCTTTTTTTATTATTTATTATTTTATTTTATTATATGTATTTTATCACTTGTATTATTATTGGTTGCTGATTTTAATGTGTTATTGCCCTTAGTGTTTTTTGTTATTGTGTTTCTTGGTTTCTGTAGCACTTTGAGATTCTTTTAAAAAGTGCTTTACAAATAAAATGTATTTTTATTATTATTATTATTATTATCTTTATTGATTATTGATCAGTATACACTATCTTTATGGATGATATTGATCAGAATACACTGTATCTTTATGGATGATATTGATCAGTATACACTGTATCTTTATGGATGATATTGATCAGTATACACTGTATCTTTATGGATGATACTGATCAGTATACACTGGCAATCAATTTCCGGCGCTGTGTCGAGCGGTGGCCAGCAACAGTTGCTCTCTCTTTTCTCCATGTTTTTTGTCCGTGTGTCTCATTCTTGGGACAATATTTCCCAACCGCTTCTCCGTCTGGGTGCAACAATGGGGCGGGTCTATTGTTTACACCCGAGATCAGCTGTTGTCGCTACAACCATCGGCGCTGATGCGAGAGAGGCCTGAAATCCCCAGAGAACTGAGGAGGAAGTACAGGGGATGTAAGGCTGGACGTAAACACCGGGAAAAGAAGCGGAGATATAAACCATCTCTCCCTTCCATCGCCATGGGGAACGTGAGGTCGCTGGCTAATAAGATGGATGCGCTGGCGGACTTGGTGAGGACTGTAGCAGGTGTATCGTGAGAGCAGCGTCCTCTGTTTCACGGAGACGTGGCCCCACGAGGACATCCCGGACTCAAATGCAACTGTGGACGGCTTTCAGATTGTTCGGGCGGACAGGAGTCACCGTGAGAGCGGCAAGAGGAAAGGTGGGGGACTTCTGCAAGTGGTGTCATCCTGGTTACGTTACTGTGAAGGAGCGTGTGTGCAGCCCGGACATTGAACTGCTTGCCGTGAGTCTGCGGCCATATTATCTGCCGAGGGAGTTCTCACACGTGATCATCCTGTTTGTTTACATTCCTCCGACCCCAAATGCGGCACACGCGAGTTACGTCATCCACACCATCGTCGCGGGACTCCAGACACGGCACCCAGACGCATTCATTGCAATATCTGGGGACTTCAATCACATCACTCTGGCTGCAACACTGTCCACGTTCAAGCAGTTTGTATACTGTCCCACCAGGGAAAACAAGACACTGGACACTGGCAGTAACAATACGGCACCACAGAGTTATCTTTAGCCACTATAGTTAGCCAGCCCCCAGTAGCCGGTGCGGTCCGACCGAAGGTAGCTTCTGCTAGCTGTCCTCCGGTAGTTCCCCCGGTAGTTCCCGAGTAGCGGGGAAGACAGGGACAGTGGGTGACTGAGCGAAGGAAGACTAAACTGCAGAAGCCCACAGTTCACTACCCAACCCATTCACGTTTCTAATAAATTTTCCCCACTCAGCGATACACCCGCTGAGGAACCAACTCTGGTTATTGGCAGCTCCATAGTCAGAAACGTGAAGTTAGTGAAGCCAGCGGCCATAGTTAAATGTATCCCTGGGGCCAGAGCGGGCGACATTGAATCAAATTTAAAACTGCTGGCTAAAGATAAACGTAAATACAGTAAGATTGTTATCCACGTCGGCGGTAATGACACCCGTTTACGCCAATCGGAGGTCACTAAGATTAATGTGGAGTCGGTGTGTAACTATGCTAAAACTATGTCGGACTCCGTAGTTTTCTCTGGACCCCTCCCCAATGTGACCAGTGATGACATGTATAGCCGCATGTCGTCATTCCACCGCTGGCTGTTGAGGTGGTGTCCAGCAAACGATGTGGGCTTCATTGATAACTGGAAGCCTTTTTGGGGAAAACCTGGTCTGATTAGGAGAGACGGCATCCATCCCACTTTGGACGGAGCGGCTCTCTTATCTAGAAATATGGCGAAGTTTATTTCTAAAACCTGACAGTCCAGAGTTGGGACCAGAAAGCAGAGCTGCTGTCTTACACACTTCTCTGCGCTTTCTTTAGAACAGTCACCCACCCAAAACCCCATAGAGACTGTGTCTGTCCCCCGACCACCTAAATTATTTAAAGAAATAAAAACAAGAGGAGTTCAACATAAAAATCTAATAAAAATTAAAACTAACTCCTCAGTAGCACAAAATAAGAGAATGAAATGTGGGCTGTTAAATATCAGGTCACTGTCCTCTAAAGCTGTTTTAGTGAACGAATTAATATCAGATTATGATATTGATTTACTTTGTCTTACTGAGACCTGGTTGTCCCACAAGGAGTATGTTAGCCTAAATGAATCCACCCCCCAGTCATATTAATACTCACATTCCTCGAGGCACTGGCCGAGGAGGTGGAGTAGCAGCCATATATGATTGGAGCGTTTTAATGGACCCTAAACCTAAACTCAATTATAATTCATTTGAAAGCCTTGTTCTTAGTCTTTCTCACCCAAACTGGAAAACACTGCAGCCAGTTCTATTTGTTATAGTGTACCGCGCTCCTGGACAGTACTCTGATTTTATATCTGAATTCTCAGAGTTTTTATCAAGTTTAGTCCTTAAATCAGATAAATTATTGTAGGTGATTATATATATATATATATATATATATATATATATATGGATGTTGACAATGACAGTCATTTATATCATTAACAGACTCAACTGGCTTCTGTCAGTGTAAATAAACCAACTCATTGTTTTAATCACACCCTTGACCTTGTTCTATCATATGGCATTGATATTGAACATTTAATAGTCTTCCCACATAATCCTTTTCTATCTGACCATTATTTAATAACTTTTGAATTCATACTATTAGATTATAAGCCATTAGGCAAAACTTCCTACAGCAGATGTCTATCTGACAGTGCTGTAGCTAAATTTAAGGAGGAGATTCCTTCAGTGTTTAATTCAATGCCATGTCTGAATTTAACAGAGTCCTATAATAACTTTCGTCCCGCTGAAATTGATAATCTTGTTGATAGTGCTGCAGGCTCACGACGATCAACATTAGACTCTATCGCTCCAATAAAAAGGAAATTATTAAAACATAGGAGAATTGCACCTTGGTATGACCACCAAACCCGCCAGTTAAAACAAATAGCTAGAAAATCTGAAAGGAAATGGCGCTCTTCCAAATTATCAGAATATCGCTCAAATTGGCAAGATAATCTTAAAACCTATAGAAAGGCCCTCCGTAATGCCAGAGGAGCCTATTACTCAGCACTAATAGAAGAAAATAAGAATAACCCTAGGTTCCTCTTCAGCACTGTAGCCAGGCTGACTGAGAGTCACAGCTCTATCGAGCCACATATCTTCATGAACTTAAGTAGCAATGACTTCATGAGCTTCTTTAATAATAAAATTATTACTATTAGAGAGAAAATTAAT